TCCCACCCATTCACTGCTGTGACCCTCCCCTCCCCTGATGCTCCCCTTGGTCACCCTGCCTTAACAGTCTAGGTGACTTCTCAGCTCAGCGTAGGCTGGTTCCTCCTGGAGGGAGGTGGGGAGGTAAACAGCAGAAGAGCTGGCATTTACAGTCAGAGGATCAAGTTGAGACCCTGGCTCTGTTACCTGCTCCTGTGTGACTTTGGGCAAGTTACTTCTCTCTGGGCCTCACTTTCCCCTTATGTAAAATAAGGTTCAACTAGATGGTTACTAAGATTCCTTCTAGCTCTAAATTCTAGGATTCTAGGACTATTCCTGCTAGCAGAGAAGAACTACCTAGGGAGGGCCAGGGTAGAGAGGCTGGAGAGCCTGGTATGTTCCACTCACATTCTCTCTGAGAATGGAGGAGCCCAGTTACCCAAGCACTCCAAGCTCAGGAGGAATATGACTTGGTGTCAGACCTTGCACAGGCAGTCTTATAGGGATGAGGAGGGGAGGAGGCATCAGAAAAGAGGAAGGAAGTTCCTAGCTGGCTTCTCTCCTTTGTGTGTACTGTGAGGCAAAAAGAATGACCCAGTGAGTGATTAGGGCAGTACAGTGCTCAGCCTGGAGGAAAATGTACTGAGGGAAATGGGTTTGGGCATCAGAGCTGAGAATTCTGAAAGGTCAAGGGAAAGACTTGAACAGTGGTCCTAGAAACTGGAAACTTGGCTGCCCAGGATGGTGGAAATGGAATTTTGAGACCCAAGAGGGAGTTCTGACCACAGGAGACTCCATTCATTTGAACCTAGGGCCCCCATGAACTCATCTGTTGGGTGGACTTTGGAGTTGGACTTGCCAGGCAGGTTCAGCCCCTGCCAAGTAACAGCCCTGGATCTTGACAGCACTATCTGGTATGGCCCCATGCCAAAGATCTGGAGAGTGAGCAGTGGAAGGAAACAATCCTCATTCACCCTAATGCCCTTGATAGCTCCCCTGACGGAAGGGCCGGAGCAGGGGGTTACTGGGGAATGAGCACTGGTTTTGGAGACAAAGGACTCAAATACAAATTTTAGCTCTGCCTTCTATTCTCAGCATGACCTTAGGAAAGTCACTTAACCTCTTGGCCCTTTTGTTGTTGTTCACTCATGTTTGACTCCTTGTGACTCCATTTGAGGTTTTCTTTGCAAAGATACTGGAGCAGTCTGCCATTTCCTCCTCCAGCTCATTTTACAGATGGGGAACTGAGGCAAACTGGATTAAGTGACTTGCCTAGGGTCACACAGCTAGTAAGTGTCAGAGGCTGGATTTGAACTCAGGAAGATGAGTCTTCCTGATTCCAAACCCAGCACTCTATCCATGGTGCCACCTAGCTGTCCTAAAAGCCAGTTGGAAGGCTACTGTTTATTTGTAAAAATGATATTGGATTAGATGACCTTTAAGATTCCTTCCAGGGCTCTGAATCTGTGATCTTACTGTCCTAAATCTCTTAACCTCTCTGGTCCTCAGTTTCCTCATGTGCAAAATGAGGGAACTGCACTAGATGATCTCTAAGGATCTTTCCAGACCAAAATTTATGATCCTATCATTCTGGGCATGTGAAAATCTTTCCCCATACAGCCCTGTCTCCTTCAGAACCTAAGACCAGTGCTTAGCACAGTGCCTAGCACATAGCAGGCACTTATGTTTGTTGAATTGAATTGAATCAGCACTGGGTGATGAGAGGAGTACTGGGTTTGGACTCAAAAGATCTGGGTTCAAATCCAAGTCTATTTACTTCTCTTGTAAACTTGGGCAAATCATTTCTCCCTCTTCTGGCTTCATTTCCTCCCCCTGTAAATATAAGGATTGGACTGGATGCTCTCTAAGGCCCGTCCAGCTCTAGCTAACATTCTGTGATATGTGAGATTGGGGGGTTGGGGTGGTGGTGAAGAGAATTGGGAAGCGGGGTGGAGGCTGAAGCAAGAAGAGACAGAGAGCTGATTTCCAATTCCTAACTCTGCCATGCAGCCCTCTTTCTGTGCCAGAAGCAAAAAAACACACCGCTAACCCTGGGCTCCCTCACTCAGGAACTTCATTATTCACCCAGTGGGTAAAGTGCTTTGAGATCTTGGGGAAAGATAACACTGGAACACTGGGCTCGTCTCCAGCGAGGCGGAGGATGCAGGGGAGCCGAGGGAGGGAGGGCTGGGCGGTGAGGAGCGAGCGAGGCTCTCTCAGCACCTCCTCTGTGAGTTTCAGAGCTCGATCGTGACTCAATTTCCAGGGGTCTTTGCTGACAGCAATGTGCCAGCCTGGCAGATTTTTGTTTTTAAAGAAAGAAGGAAGGGGACCGGGGATGGGAGGGGGGAAGGCGGAGGAAAGTCATACATTTCTTCTCCCCCCTCACCTTTCCAAAAGGGGGAAAAAGCCAGAGCAGGTAGAAGAGAGGATGCTGAAGGTAAATTCGCGATCCACACCAAATCTGTTTGAACAGCCCCAGTGCCCAGCTGACTAGGGCTGGTATTATCGCCTGCAGCAGCGAGAAAGTGGAGGGAGGGAGGAGGAAAGAAGGGAGAGAGAGAAGGAGGGAGGGGAAAGGAAGGTTGAGGCTGGGGGGGGAGTTGGGGAGGGAGAAGGAGGAAAAGTTTCCAATGCATTAGTAAGAAGCGAAGTTTAACACAGCTCCAAAAGAGACGAAGGCAGAAAGCAAACCCAGGGCAACACTGCCCTCATGTGGCCTCGCTTGGACATTGCAGCCGGGCTCTGCAGTTACAGTTGCATACAGGTGTGTTGGGGGTGGGGGGGAGGTAGCAGGGTGCGGCGAGGAGAGGTGACCCAGTGTGGGACATGCTGGGATTATACAGGGAGTCTAACGCTGCCTTTAGCTGGGACGAGGGGAGGTCTCTCTCCATCCTCCCTTGTTCTTGCTGGTGGCTGTTACTTTGTGGATGATCGTGATGGATGAGGATGACAAAAGATTTTCTCTTCCCATGTTTTGAGGATGAGAAGCGGGCTTGCTGGGGTGAGGGGGACGTTTGGAGTAAGGAAGGAGGAAGGTGGAGTCCCCGAGAATCAGGACAGTAAGGGAGTTAAATGTCAAGCTCACCCAAACAGCAGGGCTAAGGTATTAGAGCTTAGGCTGCTGACTGAAGGGAGGAGGAGAGGGCGAAGTGCAGGATGGAGAAGGCTGTCAGCATGAGGAGAGGGAGGAAGAAGCCGTGCCAGCTCTGCCCATGCTATTTGGCGTGTTCAGACTGTTGCCACTTGGAGTAAAATTTTTAACTCCACAAAATTCAGTCCCCATTCCCAAGGGACAGTTTGAATGCTAACATTCCCCAGGCCTCTATCTCATCAGCAGAGGTGGGTTAGTTCCAGCTGTGACTGCACACATAATTCCTTCCTTCCTGAAAGTATAGGGAGAAAGTATAGGCATCTTCAGGATGCCTCTTCACCTTCCCCACACTGCCTTCTGAGAAACAGTGCTGCTGTTGAGCTGATTCTTCACCCCCAGTTCAATTCAAATCAGCCTGATGAATTATGGTACTGTGGAAAGAGCATTAGTGCTGGCATTGGAGGAGCCCTGTTCAAATCCCATTTTCACTCTAACTTAGCTTCCCAGGTCTTAGTTTTCTTATTGTAAAATGAGCGGGTTGGACTAGTTGACCTCTGAGGTCCCTTTTAGCCTTTGTCTAGGCTCCCTATGTGCCTGTGTCAAAATTCCCGTAAGTCCTGGGGTGATACAGAGACAAATGAAACAAGGCCTTATCCTCAAGGATTTTAGAATCTCCTAGACATAAATGCACAAATGAAGGGAATACAAATATTGGAGGAGACAGGATGACTGGAAGGGGAATAGGGTGAAGAATGGCCTTCTGCACAGGCAAAGCAGTCCTCAGCTACTAGTTTAGATTGGAAGGGCACCGGGAAGTTCCCCCATCCAAAATTATATCCAGTGGCATTGTGCTCAAAATTCTAATATTGGTGAGTCATTCCTTTGGGTTAAGTGTTTCCTTCTCCCTGGGATCCTCTTTCGAAATAGATTCACCACCATCCCAGCAACCCCAGGGGTAAAAGGGCAAATTCCTAACACTGAATTGTGAATGAAGTTATCCTCACTGTTCAGAAGACAGAAAAGAAATAACCAGATGTCAGGATGGAAGAGAACAGGAATGGGGAAAAAGGAAAGATATCTGATTTTTTTTCCAACCTGCTTGGCCTCTTGGCCAGCTATTACTGAGTGCCTGTCACAGCTGTATAGTAAGCTACAGCCCAGAGTGCAGGTCTAGGTGTGCTCCCATGGCCATAAGCTAATCCAGATATGTAAAGTGCTAGTGGTCCATACCAACCTGCCCACCCAAGTCTAGACTTATGGTGTTAATCTTCCTTTCTCTCACCTTTGTATCCAAGTACAATTCTAGGTCGGGGGAGACCCCCCCCCAATATCTTCCTATTCTTCACATACATGTCAAAAAATGTAATACCTGATTATCAATTCTTTTTTGCCCCAGAATGAAGACATCTGGTCCAAATATACCAAAGCTTTATGGATCCAGATGGCACTGGAAGCAAGGTGAAGCTGGGCATGGAGGACACACATCCTGACAGATGCATGCTCTTGTGCATGGGCATATGTAATCTAGAAACAGAGGCCATATATAGCACCCAAGGCTGTTCCACTAGCAAGAGAGAATAGGAAGTAGAGTTCCAGGCCCAATTCTGTCACTTTCTAACTATGTGATATTAGAGAAGTGAGTCTCAGTTTCCGCATCTGTAAGATGGGGATGAGAATACTTATGGGGCTAATAGGATTGAGAGCTGGGAGGGACCACACATCATTTAGTCCAACCCCCTCATTTACTGACTGATGAAAAAACAGAAACCTAGACTGGTCAAGTGACTTGCCTAAGGTCATACAAGCAGCAAGGAGTTCAGCCAGTCCTCCGACTCCAAATCCAGTGCCCTTTCCACTATTTTATTGTGGGGAAAGTGCTTTGTAAACCCTAAAGCATTACAGATATGTGAGCTATCATTGATGTCAGGGCTGGCTTGTTAGCCCAGGCAGGGTGACAGGCTGGAGAGATGAAGAATTTAAACCAGAGCGGGGGGGCTCTTCCTCCGGTGGACTTTTGGAGCATATGGCCCTGGGAAAAGTCAGAGGGGAAAAGGCCTTCCATGAAGCTGAGATATGTCTTCGGAGAAGACTTTTGGCTCTTGTTCGTGGAAAGGCTTCATAGCCTATGAGCTATTGGTTGTTTTGTGTGTCTGTTTTTAGTTAATTTTATTTGGGGGGAGAGAGGGAGCGTCGGGGGAAAAGGAGCAGAGGGAGCTGCTGAAGTTGTCCCTCTCTTCTGCTTGCCACCCCTGTGTCCCTGGGGTCACCATGTTTGATCTTCATGTTGCCTTGTTCAGGAGCCACTCTGGCTAGCTGTCTATCTGGGAGGCTCAGAGCTGCCTTGGTTGGTACTTCAGTCCCGTTGCAAGGGAACAAGGGGTGGGAGGATGTTAGTGCTCCGAGTTTGAGTGGTTCTTTTCTTCCTCCCACATCCCACAAAGAGGGAGCTGACAAAAGTCCAGCTTCAACCCAACTCCAAAATCTCCTATCAACCTTACTTCTGACTGGTGGGTGACTCCTCCCACCAACAGGAAAGGAGGAAGACAGGGCTAAGGATCCCCAGAACCATTTGTCCAAGGTACTGACCTCCTCCCTATATAACTCATAGCACTCCCTATCCCCCATTGGGTGTCTTCCTTTAGGGCAACCCAACCATTCATCTCCTGCCACTGCCCCAGTGCATAAGCTCTCTCTCCCCACAGCAGGGTCTGACGGGGCTCTCTAGAAAGGTTCGCCTCAGGGTTCTGTCTGTTGCTGGCTCTGCCTGCTGGGAGCCAGAAAGGGCACCTCCAAGCACCTGTACACCATGATGTCCATGGACAGGGAATGGGTCCTACCCACGGGGGAGACAAGTTTATTTGGATCTAGAATAGCTTTTTCCTCAGCCAGCATCTGACTACTGTCTTACTTCTCAGGTCTTTGAATCAAAGTTTCTGGTTTACCTTTGAGTCCTGAGTGGGATAAGTGGAGGAAAGAACTGATAAGCTCCTGCCTGTCCTCCCTTCCGGCTAGTCAACAACATCATGTGAGGTATAAAGGTATCCTGCAAGGAAAAAGGAAATACCAGCATGAGCCAGTGGAAAAGGCAATGGTGGGGGGCGGGGGGGGGTGTCAGAGGATTTGGATTTAACTCTTGCCTCTGCTACTTAGAACCCCAGTGACCTCTAAAAGGCTTTTCACCACTCTGCCCCTCTGGACTACCAGGAGTTCTCAACCTAGCACCCATGAACTTGTTTTTATATTTTGATAACCATTTCAATAGAATTGATTTTTGTAATCCTAAGCATTTTATTTTGTGCATTTAAAAATAGTATTGTGAGGAGTCCATAGGTTTCACTAGACTGCCCAAGGGGTCCAGGACACAGAAAAGGTAAAGAACCCTAGGGACAAATGATCTCTAAGGTCCCTTCAGGCTCTGGGAAAACAGAACCTTGACTCCCTGCTTATGTTTGGGGGAAGAAGGAAACACAGACGACAGGACACCTTTGAGAGTTACATGTTGAATTTATACTGGGAGGAAGAAGCAAGCTTTACGTTGTGGAGATAAATGGTTTTCTTGTGTAATCCTTTTTTTTTTTCTGTTCTGCTGTGTATGTGAAAATGCTCATTTGTCTGCTGGTTATTGGGTTCAGAATCAATAAAATAAATGCAAATTATTGGGGGGGGGAGTTCTGGCATTATTGAGAGCAAGGTGTGGCCAATCTGAATCGTCTTTGCTTTTTAAATTGAGAGGAATGCTTAAGCTCATTCAGTTGAACAGAGTGGAAGAGGCAACTAGGTATATTGGAAGCAACATTGAACCCTCATTAGAATCAGGAGACCCGGATTCTACTATAACTTCTATCACTAACTTACTGTATGACATCGGACAAATTGCTTCACTTTTCTGAGCCTCAGTTTCCATACTTATTAAATGAGAATAATCCTTGCTTTGGCTATTTTACAGGGGTACCGGAAGGCTTAAAAGTGATCACAGATGGGGAAAAATATTTTGAAAATGTGAAGTGCTATACAAATTAGGGATTTCTAGTGATAGGCCAAGTATGAGTCCAGTCCATTAGCCTTACTCTGTTCCCGAGCCTTACAAGGTAGTTTTAATTCCACCTAGCCATTGGTCACACAGGGGTACAGTTTAAGGTTATACCCAGGGGTGTGCTGGAGCCAGCTCAAACCATTTTGTGAGAGTCAATTGCCAGTTTTTCAGTGTGAGCATTTATACCTTGGAAATCAACAAATACTACAATTAGGGTTTGATATATTGTTTTGTTGATTGTCTAGAGTCCAGACTTAAGAAAGTGATAGAGAAAATGTTAATTATGCAAGTCAAATTTAAAAGTATGTTGTGCACACTGTAGGCAACTAGGTGTCACAATGGATAGAGCCCTGGGCCTGGAGTTGGGGCACTTGAGTTCAAATCTAGCCTCAGACACTTACTAGCTGTGTGACCCACTGCAAGGCACTTATAAACTGTCTGCCTCAGTTTCTTCAACTGTAAAATGGGAATAATAATTACCCCTACTTCCCAAACTTGTTGTGAGGACCAAATGAAATCATACTTGTAAAGCACTTGACACAGAAGTGCTTAATAAATGTTTGTCCCCCTTCCCTTTTTGCCTGCTTTTTTTTTTCAGAGAGCTGGTTGTTAAAGGTTTACCAGCACACTGCTGAACACTCCAATGAGGCCTGTCTTTGCATGTGAAGAATATCATTATCATAAGAAAGAATGTGATCTGGGAGCTGGTAGCCACATGGCTAATGAAAGTAGGGAACTAGACCTGAGGAGACGGTTGGCAATTAGTAGCTCAACTCACCATTCTGGAAGCCCACAAGGAAGGAGAGTTCTCACTCACTGAGGAGGCTCCAGTGTTGACAGTTTGACTTCTTGGCCTGTCAGTGCTGATTACTGGGCTGGTGAACTTAGAAGTGTGTTTGGCAGGATCGATAGACAGATCCTGGAATAACCTCGGACTAGAGAAGTCAATGTTAGCCAGTGTGCTGCCGTACAAATTGCTGAAGGTAGAACTCTTCTTAGGGGAATCAGTGGGAAGGTCTTGGAATGGCCTGCTACCAGAGAAATCAATGGTACTTGAGGTGTTGGTGTGCAGAGAGCTACAGGTGGAATTCTTCTTAGGGGGATCGGTGGCCTGGTCCTGGAATGGCCTGGTACCACAGAAGTCAAGGCTGGCCAATGGGCTGGTATGCAGAGAGCTGTAGGTGGAGTTCTTCTTTAGATTATCAGCAGACAGCTCCTGGAAGGACCTGGAACCAGAGAAGACTCCACGAGTTAGCAAAGGGCAGATGCCCTGACCTTGGTCCTGGCTAGGGATTGGAGATTCAACAGTTTGAGAGTTTGGGGCAGAGGGGTGGGGTGGGGGGTGTCATCTTTGCTTTTGGATTTGCATTCCTATTGCTTAGCACATAGTAAATGCTTAATAAGTTTTTCATTCATTCATTCATTCATTCTTCCAGTCCTATTATGTTGTAAGTACATCTCCCAGAACCATCTTTATATAAAATACAGTAGGTACCCAGAGGACTCATTATGGACAAAGGGGCTAGGGTAAAAATATCTTATCTCTCCCACCACCAAATATTTTTATTCAGGCAAAATCAAGTTAAAATTCAAATCCATCAACATTAATTAAGCATCTACTATGAATAAGGCCCTGTGCTAGGTAGGCATTAAGGGAAATACAATGATAAACAAGACATTGACCTTGCTTCTACAGAAGGGAGTCTGATAAGCAGACAAGACAGGAAACACGAATAACTACAAAACTAAATAAGATAATCAGCTGGTAGAAGAGCTGTAAAGTGTTATAAAGAGTCTGAGGTTCAGATAGCTCCCTTCCAGTTGTGTTTTTTTCTTGGGGGGGCAGTTCTTGGGGAGAGGGGGTCACACAGCAAGTATCTGAGGTGGGATTTGAAACTAGGTCTTCCTGAATCCAAGGCCAGTGCCCTATCTACTACACCAGGAGTGTCAGACACAACGGCACTTGGTCCAGGTAACACTCCCAAGTGCAACCCAAACTACATTAAAATGTAACTGGGACATATTAACAAAATAAATAAAAACAATCAAATTTAGAGAATGTTAAAATGCGATTTTCTTTAATATGCATTTTGCTGCTGCTTTTTTTTTTTGCAGTTGGGATTAAGTGACTTGCCCAGGGTCACATGGCTAGCAAGTGCTTGAGGTTGGATTTGAATTCAGGTCCTCCAGAGCCTGTACTCCATCCACTATGCCACCTAACTACCCCAATATGTGGTTTTCTAAGTCAACAGGAATCTTTATATACTTGTCTAGTTTGGCTACATTTGAGTTTGACTCCACCAGACTATACCACATCAATGTGTGATGTTAAATAAGTTACTTTATTGTTTTTTTTTAATTTTTAGGCAATTGGGGTTAAGTGACTCGCCTAGGGTCACACAGCTATTAAGTGTTTGGTCTGAGACCGGATTTGAACTCAGGTCTTCCTGAATCCAGGGCTGGTGCTCTATCCTCTGTGCCACCTAGCTGCCCAACAAGTTACTTTATTTCAACCATTCTGGGCTTAAATCTGTATACCCATAAAATTAGGGGGTTTGACTGGATGGTTTTTAAGGTATCTTCCAGCTCTAAATTCTATGATCCAATAAGTTTGAACTTCACTGAGTGGGAAACCACTAAGGCTTTTGACAGTGGATTAACATGACAGAACTTTTCATTAAGAAGAGTAAGTATGTATATTCCGAGTTGCGAGGAGGAGAGTGAATAGGTACAATTCCCTGAAATCAGAAAAAGTGGTGTCCCACTTCCCCCAAGTGTCTGTATGCAATCAATTGGGAATTGCAAGAGGACTTTCTTGTATTATTTGAACCTAGCCCCCCGTGGCTGAGAAGCTGGACCACCTCTACTTGCTGCTTAAAGACCTTTAATTAAAGACCTAGATTATGCTGACCAGATTCAAAGATTGATAGAAGGAACTTTCTCACAATTATACATTTCAAGCAACCTATGTGTCTTATCTGAAAACTGGGCCTGTGCTGATCAATCAGTTATTGTTTCCATGTTCCTTTGATTGTATACAGACACTTACAGTAAATTGGACATCTCTTTTTCTAATTTCAGGGAATTATACTTGTTTGCTCTCCCCTTCCCAACTTGGAAATCCTCTAATCTTTCCTCCAGTTAGAAATCAGATTACCTAATTCTGTATCCTAGTTAATCATTTTCTTTTAGTTAATTGGTCTTATTTGATTAAATGTGTTTAATGCATAAAAGTCTGTCTTCCCCCTGTATTCGGGGTTCAGTGCCAAAGCTGAGGATTCCTGGTTCTGGTTTGTTGAGCAGTTGGTATGCATTTCTTAATAAATCAATATGCTCAGAAGTTTGAACTTTTGTTTCCTCAGTCATTTCATCTTTCACCTACCACAGTATGTAGTATGGATGGTAGGATGAAGAAATTTGAGGTAGGGAGACCATTAGTCCAAGTAGGATAGAGAAGTAACTGTGGGGACAAGTGAGAAAGATTGGCAGGACTTGGCACCGGATTGAATTTGAAAGGAGAGGGAGAGGGCTAGGAAAAGTGGGTAAAGATGGAGCCTTTGAGGAGGGTGTGTGGAGGATGGTCAGGGTTAGATAATCTCCCCTCTCAGTGAAGTTACTGAAGCTAGAAAAGCATAGATTTTGAGCTGGGAAAACACCTTAGAGATCATCAGTTCAACATCTTCATTTTCTAGATGAGGAAACTGAAGTCCAGAGAGGAAGTGACTTGTCCAAGGTCATATAAGTAGTAATAAAAGAAGGATTTTAAGTGGCAGAGTAAGGATTTGAACCTGGGTCTTTTGACATCAAACCCAGGCTCTTTCTACTGTATATCCAAGAGGGAGTAAGACAAGGTGAAGCTGGAAGCTTAGGGAGAGTGGACAAAGTTTGGAAGAGTTGACTTGACAGATTTGATAAGGAGTCAGCAAGAGATGAATCAAAGAATTCCCAGGCAGCAGTGAAGGACCAAACAAGGTGAGATAGAATGAATTTTTAGGAGGAGCCTGGGAGGGGATACAGAGTATATTTGTCTGGGGGGATTCAACATAAATCAATTTTTATTTTATTTTTAATTTTTTTTTTGCTTTTTGATGAGTCAACTGGGGTTAAGTGAGTTGAACAGAAATCAATTCAAAAAGAACTATTGGCGAAGATAGGGATTTTTATGAGCTGAGTGTATGTATATGAGTCTCAGATCATCTTTTAAAGACAACTAGTGAGAGCTAGATGGTACAGTGGATAGAATGCTAGGCCTGGAGTTACGAAGACCTGAGTTCAAATTCAGCCTCAGACACTTACTAGCTGGGTGACCCTGGGCAAGTCACTTAAGCTCTGTTTGCCTTAATCCACTGGAGAAGGAAATGGCAAACCACTCCAGTATCTTTGCCAAGACAGTATGGTCCATGAGGTCTTAAAAAGTCAAGCACAACTGAACAACTGAACAATGGGGAGAGCTATTTCCTTCACTTCCAGTAATCAGCTGCCAACAAGGGGATTTGGCCTAAAATGTAGTTAGAAGCCATAAAAATATCACAAATAATAATTACTATTACTATTATTATTATTACATCTATACAATAGGGCCTCCTGTGCAGTGGCTATTGGAAATGTGACTTGGGTCAGACTTGGTCTTATCACCATGAGCTCTAAGAACCCCAAGAAATTAGAACTGATCCTAGCTTATAAAAGAGAAAAACCTTACATGGGCAAGGTGTCCAATCTCCCAGCACAAAGGAATTCATCTCGCCACGTGTTTGTCTGCTGAGATCCACTCCGTGGGGCTTTCTCCATCCAAATCCCCAGTTTCCCTGATATCTGTTCTGGGGACTTACATGATGTTGGGCTCTTGAGGAGGCTTCTCTGAACTGGGGAAAGGAAAACAATAGTATGTGAATACCTGTTACACTAAAGAAAACAGGAGCAAAACTCTAAACGTTTACTACTCTAGAAAGATTAAGAACTATAAAAGAAGTGTCCTTCTCCACCTACCATTACTAAATGACAACTGTTGGAGGGCCTGAGGAAAGATAGGCACGCTAGTGTAAAGGTGGAACTATGAGGTAGTCCAGTCCCTCTGGAAAGCAATTTGGAATTATACTCCAAAATTTACTTAGCTACACATATTCAGTGATGCTATTAGGCTCATATATGCAAAAAAAAGATTTGAAGACAAAGGGAAAAGACTCATATTCCAAAAATATTTATAGCAGCTCTTTTTGTTGTAGCAAGGAAAGAGAAACAAAATGGTGTCCATCAAATGGTGAATGGTTAAGTAAAGTATGGGATATGACTGTAATGTAATATTATGTCAAAAGAAATTCCATTCAGACTTGAATGGAAAGACCTGAATGAACTAATGCAAGGTGGAAGAAGCAGAACCAGGAGAAAAATTTATGCAGTAACAACATTGTAAAGAAAAATAACTTGGGAATACTTAAGAACTCTGATGCAATGACCAATCACAACTCCAGAAGACTAGTGATAAAGCACGTTACCTACCTCCTGACAGAAGGGCAGAATGAGACACGTATTTTTGGACATGGCAAATGTGGATTTGTTTTGGTTGTCTATGTTTACTTGTTTTAAAACAATTTTTTTTAATTTGGGGGAATTTGAGGTGGAAGAAGGGAGCCATTGTATTTCAAAAAAAGAAGAAGAAAAGAAAGAAAAGAGGGTCATTGATGTAGTTTTTAATGCACATAAGAGAATAGAAGGAAAATGAGATAAGATAGTTTGGGGAGTAACATGTTGAGTTTATTACATACTTCAAAGAAAACAAGCTATATATAAGAGACTCATGATTTCCCAGTGTCATCTATTAAATGAGATAATAATTGTAAAGCACTCAGCAAAGTGCCTGGCACATTGTAAGCACTACATAAATGTTATCCACTTTTATTATTCTCTTCTTCTGTTCTATTTTGTATATGGGAATTTTTTCTAGTGTTTGTTAAAATTCAAAGCCAAAAAAACTCCATTTGTTTTTTTTTATGTCTAGCTCTAAATGTGAGAAAATTCTTTGTTAACAATCAAATGAAGCTAAATAAATGCCATGTGATTATAGTGCCCAATTTTTGGCCCTTGTAAAAGAAATGAAAAAATAAACTTTCTCCTGTTAGTTAAAGAAGTGGGGACTGTGGGTATGGAATGGTACATCTCACTTTGAATAGGATAGATATTCCTGCTAGTTTTGCTCAACTAAATGTTTTCCTTTTTAACAAAAGAAGAGAGAGGGAAGGCAAGAAAACATCCCAAGTTAACTTTGATATAAAAAATTTAAAAGGCATCAATAAAATTTTTAAAAAGAAAATTATGTTCTCTCTATTGAGCGAAACTGCCTTCCAGCACTTGATCCTAGCTCTATCTCCCAGATCCACACAAAACCACCTCTGGAAACAGAGCGTATTGGATTAAAGAAGTTCAGTGTTAACTCCAGGCTAGGGCAAGGGAGGTATTTTCTCTGCATTTACAGATAATAGTCTTCATTCCCACCTCTTATTGCCTCCCTGCTTCTCAAGATTCCTAGAACATTTGTGCCAATGAGCAATATCTCTCCTTGCATTTTCAATGGTTGAGGAAGAAAATCCAGACTGTTAATGGCTTCATCTTGCTTTATCTTTGGTCCAGTCCCACCACCTCGGGGTCTTAGTCTTCTCCACACCCACGCTCCTCCAGGGGCCAAGTCCACCCATATCTATCATGCTTCTTCCCATTCCCAGTCCTGCAGAGCAGTTCAGTCCAGGGGTGATAGACCTCTAGCCCATCCTGTAGAGGTCACCAGACTAAAGAATAGAGACTGAACCTCTAACTTAATTGATAAATGGAATTCCTGGATAAGGAAACTCCCTCTACTGAAGTAGGTTGTCACCTTCTCTGCAACTCACAGTTGTCTATGGGGCTGGGAGGTTGTCACCTGCCTGTGACATATATCTCCTATGTGTCAGAGAGAAGCAGGATATGAACCAAGGCCAGCTTTCTGCCACCGTGTGTGCACATCCATACTACTTTGTTACATTTCCTAAACGTTTTGGAGTTCTCTGTTGGCTGCAGATCTAAACTTCTTTGCTTGTTATTCAAAGTCCTCGGTAATTTGGCCAGAGCCTATAGTTCTATATGTTTTGACCCCTCTTTCCCACAAATCTTATATTTGTGTCAAACAGGAATACAGTTATTCCTTCCATGTAGAGGAGATTAGAGGTGTGGTGCCCCTGCAGTCTGGAAAATCTGCATAAAAATTTTGGCCCTCGCTTTATACCAGAGAAGAAGTTGAATTATTATAGTATTAAAAGACAAAATATGGGGCAGCTAGGTGGCACAATGGTTAGAGCTCTGAATTTGGAGTCACAAGGACCTGAGTTCAAATCTAGACTCAGACACTTGACACTAACTGTGTGACCCTGAGAAAGTCACTTAACCCCAAATGCCTCACCAAAAAAAAAAAAGATAAAATATGTTCATATTATATAATACTATAGATTTATTTTATGCATTTCTGAATTTCTAAACTTTTTCTGTGTCATCTGCTGGCCTTCACATGTCACCTGCAGCTTCTGCATAACTCCCAAAATAATTCCCATTTAATTTCTTATGAAGACTGTGATATATCAAAACCACAATGGGGAAAGTCGTCATGTGGACAGAATAACTGTAGTTGCTTTTCTTAGAGCACACACTGCATTTTTCCAGCTCTGTGCCTTGGTTCATGCTTCCACCTCTAACTAGAATGCTTTCCTCCTCCTTTCTTGAAATCTGACCCATTCTTCAAGCCCCAAATTCAAATGCCACCTCTTCTATGAAGCCTTCTTCCATCCTCTAATCAATCAGATATAATCTTCACTACTTCCTTCAAATCTCTATAGTATGTATCACACTCTACCTTGCAAGACAATTATTGATATATGTCTTATTTCTGCTAGGATCATAGATTTAGAATTGGAAAGGGCTACAGGGATCATGGAGTTCGACCGCCTCATTTCATAGATGACAGAACTTCAGCCCAGAGAAGTTGTGACCTACACAAGGTCAGACTACCTGGTGAATCCTCCAAGGCAGGGACCGTGTCTTATCCCAACAATGTCTAGCAAAGGACTTTGGACATAGCAGTTGCTTGGTAAATAAATACTTGTTGAATTAACGAATAGGGTCCATTTCTTAACTCTGACGACATGAAATTGAATTTCATTTTTGTCAAGGTTCCCCATCAAAATTCACACACACACACACACACACACACACACACACACACACACACACACACAAAGTAAGATCTCAGAACTGGCACTGACCTCCTCCTGGCACAGTTATTATCACACAGTCCTTGGTGTCAGTTTTACCTAAGACCTCAGGCAGCTTACACAGCAGCCCAGTGCACAAGACACACAATATAGGAAAAGCCTCTTGGGCAAGAAAATTCCCCAGAGCCTCAGCAAATTGTGAGAAAGGTCTCACCTGACTGCCTTGCTCTTTTTTCTATGAACACATTAGGTGTTTATAGAACTACAACCACAGATGCGGTCAGAGTTCTTTATGCTTTAGTGTGTGATAGTCTGTAGGTAACCTCAGAGCAGGACAGAGGCTAGTGCCCTTATTTGAGCTCCTAGAAGAAGCCACTGCCTTCCTAGGCCCATAGCTTAACAGCTCTGCTACCCTGATAATAGTCACAACTTCAATCACAAGTGAAAGGAGTACCTGCAGCCTTGAGGCCACGTGTGGCCTCTTGGGCTCCCCACCCCTGGAGGTGATCTCAAAGTAATTATTATAGGAGTGAATTTACATCCATATCCACAAGGGCCAATTGCAGCTGGGAGAAAAGGAAACGGGATATTCTTGTTGACTAGATTTGGCTTCTGAAAAGCCCTAAGAACTTCCCTGGCCATCCTCAATCCCAAACATAGCTCTAAAGGAAAGTTTCCTGGAGAAGAGGGGGGAAAAATCACTTTCTTTCATACCTTTCAACTTTGGGAGTGGCCACAGAATTGGGGTGCATCTTTTGAAGGTTGAGGGGAGATGCTTCCTTGATATGGGGGAAAGAACTCTATTTGGGACAAGCTTCAGTATTCTAGTTCAAATGCCATGGTTATAGCTGAATGTAGCGTATGTGGGGGACAAGAATAGATAGTAGGAGCCTTGGATTCATGCCAAGTAGACCTCATCTTTAGCAAATCCTCCAAGACCCCCATCTCTTTCACACAAAAGCCTTCGTTGTCATCTTTCAGTATCCCCCCCCCCCACTAAGAGTGTCTGGCTTCTAGTATTCATATTCATTCATTAATTGTCAGAGCTAGAAGGGACTTAATATAAATCATCTGGTTTTTCCTTTATTTTTTCAATTCCCTAATTTGACCAAAGTGGAAACTGAGGCTGAGACGTGTGATGTGGCATGCCCAAAGTCACACAGCTGGACTACAAACTCAGGTCTTTTAACTTCTAGTCCAGCATTCCTTTAACCATACCATATTCTTTCTCTGATTTCCTCCAGAGAGGCCTGTTCAATCATGGGAAGCTGAAAGGGAGATGGCACATTCCGTATCTGTGTCCCTTTAGCCTCAGGATTAAAAGAGGATGGTATTTCCCCCAGCTATGTCCTTTGGCAGAGGACACCAGGCACTAAGTCTCTGCTTGGCTACTACTCTGTCCCAATTGAGTACAGGGTTCTAGAAGCCAGAGGCCCCTTCAGAGGGACCTCATAGAAGCCATGGCCAGCCATGAGGCACAGACACATCTCCCTCCCTCCTTCTTACACTCATAGTTTCTCTCCCAGTATCGCAATGCCATGTCCTTGGGGCTCTCATCTGCGAAGCGCACCCGAAATGGGTGGAACCGTTTCTGGGGTCCTGATGCATCATCTGAGCATCTGGTGATAAGAGCTGGTTTGAGCTTCACAGTTTGCCTGTTCTTTGACCTGTGGGATACAGTGAAGAATATGAGACAGATAAGGAAGAGGGGAGACAAGGGACACAAACCTCTTGGCTATTTTTCCTCCTAAAAGCTGACCATCACCCTAAAACCAAAATTTTCACCCACCCTGCTGGATAATCAGAACACTCATTCATTCATTTAAAAATATTTGTTAAGGGTTTATTGGGTACAATCAACATGGGCCACAAGGATGACCACCATGAGTCCATTCCCCTGCTGTTCTACTGCCAGAAAAAGCCCTGAAGATGAGCTCTTTTGGTACTGATGGCTCCACTCAAAATTTATGTCCTCTAATCTCACCTGGGCTCTCACAGCCGCCAGGCAATTCTTTTACATTTCTCTAATTGACTCTCTTACAATCCCCACAAAAATAGTTCCAAACATTCTCTTTTCTCTTCATGCTTTCCATACCACCCTTCTCACCTGCCCTCAAAGCTGCAGGCTTTGCCTTATGTTTACTGAAGAAAAGAGAGGCCATTTATCCTGATCTTCTTTCCTTCTTTGCTACATCCCCAAACTTCTCAAGTTAATCTCCTGTTCTTTTATTGACTTCAGACTCTAATAAAGAGGTAGCCCTTCTCCTTGCTAAGACCAACCCTTCTGCTTGTACCCTGACCTTCATCTCCTCCTGTCTCTTCAGGAATATTGCCCCAACAATCACCCCACTAATCTTCAGACTTTCCCTATTTACTAGTATCTTCCTTGCTTTCTACAAACACACCCAAGTTTCCCCCAGTCTTAAAAACAACAACAACCCTACCCAGCTATAATTCTATACCTCACCCAACTTCTATAGGAAGCCACCTCCAATCATCCTCCACTTTATTCCTCCATACCTTGCAGTCTGGCTTCTGAAACTGCTTCTCCAAAGTTATCAGCGATGTTGCCATAATTGGTGGCCATAATTTGACTCTTGGCCATCCTCTCTTTCTTTGATACCCTCCCCTCTGTGGGGTTTTATGGTATGCTTGCCAGGCATTATTTCTTCTCCCTTACCACATGTCCTGAATTACTCCTCTTGTAGGCATTAGCTAAGCCCCTTGCTTCTCTTCCTGCCTCTGTATTCTCTATTCCTGAAGCTTAAAAAAGGATATGCCTACATAGGATTGAGTACTGGAAGAGACTTTACAAATTATCTATTTCAATGCCGACATTTTAGAAGAAGGTCAAACAAGTATTCACCTAAAGAGCTGGTGCAGAATTTGAACCCACATTCCTTAACTCCAAATCCAGTATTTTATTCTGCCTTACCACATCTTTCTGTAAGCACCTAATGTCAATACCAGTCACTGGCCATTTTGCATTCCTTTTTTTTTTTCATCCTAATCCATTTAAATGTGTGAATTGGATGCCTATCCAACTGTAATCTGCTGGATCAAGTACATGGGAAATAACTTCTGGCCCCCTTTTTCTCTCCAATCAATCCACCAGAACTATTAATTCCACCTCCTTTTCATCTCTCAACTCTCTCCCAGATCCACTATATACATCTTGTTCTATGAAAACTTCAATCTTTCCCCCTCTCACTCTGTCTCTCTTGCTTTCTGTCTTTCCTTCCTCTCTGTCTCTCCCTCTCCCTCTGTCTCTCTCCTTCTCTCTCTCTCTCTCTCCTTCTCTCTCTCTCTCTTCTCTCTCTCTCTCTCTGTCTCTCTCTCTCTCTCTGTCAACACACACACACATACACACACACACACACACACACACACGCACACACATACCCCAGCTTTCTGTAACTCACACTTTGGAATTCTTGGCCATAGTAGATGTACTAGCATTGGCATTCAGGGAACTCATTGGGAGATGGTTCAGCAGCACAGTCTTCACAAGGTTCCTGGAGAAGGTAATTCCTGAGGATACAGTAACTGGAACTTCTGAGACAAAAAGCACCGCTTTCCTTCACATCACCCAAAAACCTCCTAGAGTTAGGGGTCAGGGTCACCTTCCCTCATGAGGAAGCCCAGGGAGAATGGGTGACTCCCTCAGTCCTAGATACCATGGGGCTTACCAGAGGTCTGGATGATCAGAGCAAAAAGAACAGCGAGGTGAGTCACAGCTGCAGTCTGAGGAACTGTCTCTTATGGAGTGAATCGATGTTGCTGGGAGTAAGGAAGGGAAGAAACCTCAGTCCATCCCCTTCCTTTGAGGGTAGGGTCCATATTGTTGCTTCTGGCTGGGGCTGGGGGTGGGGCCATCTCTGAAGGACTTGAACACCTATATCCAATATCTTTGGACCGAGCAGAGAACCTCCAAATACTATTTGCACACCCCATATGGGGACTGGAATCCACCCTTTTCCTTGCCCCACCCCCACTTCCCCCAGGGGCTCTGGGAAGGGGCTTACAATGTTGTAGATGCTTTCTGCTGGCCTTCTTTGTTGGTTCCCGCGAGACTTTGGGCCTGTTGGGGAGTAACTCTCCCAGGACTGGGCTCGGGGAGTCCTTTTCTCCCCAGCCTACGCTACACTGGGGACCCTCTCTCTCACTAGTGGCCCAGGCCTCTGTCCTTGGGAATGCGTGGCCTGTTTTTCCACCCTGGACACTGTTGATCTTTCCCTGGAATGATAAGCCTTTGGACTTCAGCTTCTCCTGGTTCTGCTGGACCTTCTGTGTGAAGGTAGGCAAGTAGTGGGCAGCCAGATTTCTCTTGGAGCCCTGCCCTGCTGGGGTCAAGGGCCCTGGCTTGAAGTCCCAAGAGAAGTGCACATCCCCATCAGGAGACAAGCCTCTTCGGCCCTGGGTTAGTTTCTGCTCCTGCCTTCTTGGGAAATAACCGGATATCCTCGGTCGGGTTGTAGTAGAAATATAGGTGGGAGCCTTGGAATCAGCCCCAGCTGTCTTCTTTTTCCATGACTGGTAACTTGCACAGCAGGGAGCTTCTGATGGTGATCATAGGAAACCCTTCTGGTTCTGACCCCTGAACTCGGAAATTGGTGTGACCCCAGGGCATACCTGGTCTCTCCTTGGACGGTGTTCATCTCTCTCCAGCCTAGCTTGAGGGAGGGGGTAGTAGGGAGGGTAGCAGAAGGCAGCTGGAGGAGGCTAAGACTATCCCCCATACACAGACTCTCCCCAGCTCCCCCTGTCAGCACACAGCAACTAAGCATTCAGGAGGATGTCAGGAGACAACTGCGGGGAAGCAGACAGACCAGGCCACCTGGGTTCTCTAAACCATCTTCCTGCTGGCCTCAGGACCAGGGTCTCAGGGCTGTTGCTCAAGGTCAGGGCCAAGCGGAGTTTGTCCAGAAGGTTGCCACTGGGATGTGCTGGGCTAATTAATGGTCACTCTACCCTTTTCCCTAACCCTATTTTTCCAAGTCAGCACCCACCTCTTATTCACCCCTAATCCCCCTTCCCTTTTAGAGACTTAAAGAGGCAACGCTAGACTAGAATGCAAGAGGCTTGTTCTAGTCCTGACTGGGCCACTAAGTAACCCAAGACAAATGACTTCTCCGCTGGCCTTCAGTCTCCTCCTCTATAAAATGAGCAGATTGAACAAGTTGACCTAAATGGTCCTTTCCAGCCTCAAGGTTCCAGGTTCCAGGTTCTAGGTTCTCTTTGGTTCTATGACTTCTCTACCTCTGTGCCTGTGCCCCCTTTTCTACTCCTCTACTTATCCCTTCCCCTCTAATTCACACCCCACCCCCTATCCCAGTTTGTTGTCCTCTATGAGCTAGCTCAGCAGGTCATACTCACCCTCTGGGCCCTCTAGGTGGGGCCCAGAGAAGATCCTGTGAGGAGGACCCTCTAACCCAGGGACTTCACTTGGGCAAGGAGCATCTTCCCTGCTCTGTGCACTCCAGACTGACTCCTCTCCTGTTGCCCGAAGGGGCAAGTTCAGGTTCATTGTGATTCATCCCTCTCCTCAGTACCCCAAGGACAAAGTGAGTATGGCACATAGGGCTGTGGGGAGAGAGTGTAGTAGCCAGAGGAGGCTGTGATTATCTGAAGAATAGAGCCCACCCCGCCAATCCACATATGTCCCATTTTAGGGGAGAAGCTGCCTGAAACCCTAGGGTTTGGAAGAGCTGGAGAGGCAACAATAATGAGACGGGCAATTCCAGAGCTCAGGAAAAGGAGTATGGAGAAGGGAGTAGGGATTGGAAGGGAGTGGGAATTCCCTCAGTTCCACAGGCAGTGAAATGGTTAAACGTTATTCTCATGCTCATTCTTGGACTAAAGTCAGAAGAGAATAGGCCCCAACAGGAAATCCCTGTTATGGGAACCATGGCCCAGGCAGTGGCCACTGATCTGGACTCCCTCTCCCAATCTAAATGACCAGTCCATTGGAGAACATAAAACAAGCATGACATTCCAGTTACCAGATCCAATAACCTCTCCGTCTTTGCCTGTTCTGCAATACCTGACACTGAAACGCCTTGATAACCTTCTCCGTTAGCTTCAGTGACATTGCTTTCTCCTGGTTCTTCTTCTCCCTCTCGAATGTTCCTTCTCTTTTTTCTTTTTGGCTCTTCTTCTTTATTCCCCCATCCCTAAAGGTGATCATTCCAACCATAACTCACTTATGTGGTGTAATATGCATTATAAACTCACCCAAAATAATCCCGTAAGGTAGGTAGTTCGCAAAACTATTGTCCCTGGTTTAGAAAGGAGGAAACTGCCCTTTGGCCCTCTTCTCTCTTTTTCTCACTGTTTTTTAGGCAATTTCATCTACCTTCTCAATTTCAACTATTGCTCAAGTTCTTCCCAGAGCTCTAGTACCATATTTCTAAGTATTTTCTACATGTATAAGACATAGGAATGTATATATTGAAGCTATATCAGATTGCACACCATCTTGGGGAGGGGGGAGGAGAGGAAAGGGGAGAAAATTTAAAACTCAAAAGCTTATGGAAATGAATGTTGAAGACTAAAAATAAATTAATAAAAAAAGAAAACTATACTCCTTGGCCAAATCCAACCTGCCACCTGTTTTTCTATGGTCCATGACCTAAGAATGGTTTTCACATTTTTAAATGATTGAAGAAAAATAGAAAGAATATTTCATGACATGTGAAAATTATATGAAATTCAAATTTCAGTGTCCATAAATACAAATTTTATTGAAACACAATTACAAGTTCATTGATTTATGTATTGTACAGCTGAGTTACATAGTTGCAAAAGAGCGCAGAAATCGTAGGTGGTTCTCTCGATTCGTACTGCTGCCCAGCCCCCTACAAATCACAGAGACGTAGTTATAACTTGACAGGTGTCTCAATTGCCACACATATTGCAATACCATGACATTTTGTTTTGTTTTGGTTTTGGTTTTGCTAGGCAATGGGGTTAAATGATTTGCCCAGGGTCACACAGCTAGTAAGTGTTATGTTGTCTGAGGGCAGATTTGAACTCAGGTCCTCCTGACTCCAGGGCCAGTGCTCTATCCACTGTGCCACCTAGCTGCCCCAATTATGACATTTTTTTTTACTAGCCTTATATACCCATCATGCCAAAACAAGAAAAGGAAAAAAAAAGTTTTATTACTATTTTCTGAGCTCACTGAATGAAAAGAATCGCCCGCAACCACTATTATGCAAGAGCAAAAGAAATTTCCACATTTCAAAATTCATTTAGTTGTGCTGTTAAGGAGCTTCCACCTAACTTTCAGGTGGGAGTGATTAATCTGCAATGTAACGACACTTGCTAAAAGGCAAATATCAAGAGAAGAATCCGATATAATTCTATAAATGCCTTCTAAGCAATCAAAATACATTTAATTAAAGTTACATGCTGATGCACTGCTATCAGTATTTGGCAGTATCTATCTGTGTGAAAAGACATTTTCAAAAATGAAATATGTGAAATCTTATAACAGATCAGCATTAACAGATGAACACTGGCAATTAAATTTAATGTCAGAGAACACTAACTCTGAAACTCAATTCAACAAAATATTGTCATCCACCACCACCACCACCCTAAAAAATTAAATTCTTCTCATTGGTATAGCTATTACAAAAAAACTCTACTTAGGTATTTTTATATTTTTAATTTCATCAATAAAACACTGCAGAAATTGTCCTCTCTTGTTATACAAGAACATACATGATCCTGGATTTTACTTCTTGGCCTACAAAACCTAAAATATTTACTATCTGGACCTTTACAACTTACTCCTGCTCTATTGCTAGGACAGGACACAAAGCCTTCAAGCTTAGCAGAATCTGTCAGAATTGATGGATTATGCAGGCACAGGTTTCAAAAACTTCCGGTCAGGGGCAGCTAGGTGGCACAATGGACAGAGCACAGGCCCTGGAGTCAGGAGGACCTGAGTTCAAATCTGCCCTCAGACAACATAACACTTACTAGCTGTGTGACCCTGGGCAAGTCACTTAACCCCATTGCCTAGCCAAAAAAAAACCCCAACAAAAACAAAAACCTACAGACAATCCCATGCCACAATGGCATCATAGTAGGAAGTTTGGCCATGGTGACCCATAAAACATAAATATGCCAAATTGCTGGTGGTGACAGTGGTAGAGTGAAACAAAAGGGAGACATAAGGTTCTAAGAATCAAACAGTTTTTAGGTAATTTGTAAATATTAATTTAACCATTGGCAGATAGCTACTGGCTTCATAGTCAGGAAGACCTGGGTTTAAGGACTTGCCTCTGCTACATCTGGCTTATCCTGGGCCTTATACTTATCCTCTCAGTGCCCCCAGACTACTCTCTAAATTGCCAAGAAGGTGCTAATCTGCATGGGTAATGAGAGTTCCTTTTGGGGAACTCTATACACTGTAGTGTGTGGGTGTTCAGGGAGAACTAGCACCTCTGATGTGAGGGCCACTCATCCTTCTGGGGTCCACCTGGTACCCAACTCTCACCTGTGACTACAAGAAGCTATAGCATGCAGAGCAGGCCACATGGGCTAAACCAGGTTGAGGGTAACCTAAGCTGGTCGGTGAGTTAGTGGGATGCCTACTGCAAGGATGTAAAGACTTTCCACTGTGGAATGGACAGATGAGAACAATTTGTTCCAGTGGCCACGAAGGCGGCTGAAGCAGGTTCTGTGCAGTGCTTACAGCTCGCTCAGACGTTGAAGACACTGAGGTTATCCACAGCATCCCGGGCCATCACCAGTCGTCTTGACTTTTGACCTGCCACTGGCCTTTAATGACTCTGGAAGAGAGAGTGAGGCTGATGACTTTGTGCGCCTCTGCCTCACTTAAATCCAATTTACACATGAGTCAAGACATCACCTCATAATGTCATCGGTCCTCTTCGAGAATGGAGAGCAAACAATACACCAATATCACGAGTCCAGTCAAAAACTCCCCACAAAATTCTAAGTGTGAACTCTTTGTTCAATGACCAAGGATCTGATACGCTATTGTAGGAATTGAACCACAGTCATATTACTAAAAATGAAACCAAAGAACATAAAAAAGTTTGAGCCAGATGGAAAAATGCCCCGAAGGCTTAGAGAGACAAATAAGGGAGTTAGAGGAGCTGATTTCTTTGTGCACCCAAGAGCTACAATAAGCATCATTTCCTGGGGCACCTGGTCATCTCATCCATTAATTAATAATTAATTTACATAGGCAGGAGGACCACCAATGTCTGTTGCACAAGATAAAGCAGCACAGAAATTCTATAAAGAACTTCATAGAGCCAACCGACCAAATCAAGTCGACATAGACTTGGTATTTGATTATTTCATTGGAAAGGTGGATTTAGGGGAGGATGGAAAAATAGACTAGAAAACATGACTCAGGATTGAATAATGATAGAGATCACAGACCTAAAGAATACTAAGAAACCTAATACCTATATATTATGAATGATTTATTCAAGGAGAGAATTATGATGAGTACTGAGTTGCATCACAAAAAAATGAAATTGAATCCATACTGAATGACAGGCAATGATGGGTTACCCCTGTGAGGGTTATTCAGAAGCAGGTCTCCATGTGTAGTGCTTGGTTTCCTTCAACACTCAGCTCAGATTTCACTCCCTACATGAGAGCTTTCTATCCCAACTACTAGTGCCACCCCTTACCAAGAAATCCCTTTGTATTTACTTTTAAAGTTTTTTGCTTTTTTAAAGTAAATTTTGTTGCTATTTTGTTATTACATTATCTATATTTCCACTGCATTCTTCTCTCCATCTCCTCATAGAAGGCTATCCCTCATAATAAAGGATAAAGAAAGTTTCAAAAGGTTACACAAAACTAGACAAGACATAAAAAGTTTAACACTACGTGTACTTCTATGGTCTTCTACTTCCACACAGGAATGGGAGGGATGTGTTTTGTATTTCTTCTTCTCCTCCTCTTCCTTCTCCTCCTTTTTCTTCTCCTCTTCCTCCTCCTCCTTTTGTCCTCCTCCTCCTCCTGATCTTCCTTCCTCATTTTCCTCCTCCTCTTCATTTTTAAACATTTTGAGTTCTGAATTCTCTCCCTCTCTCCAGCCTATCCTCTATTCACTGTGAAGGCAAGCAATATGATATCAATTAAACATGTGAAGTCACACAAAACGTATTACCCATGTTGCAAAAAAGAAAAAAACAAAAAATAAAGTGAAAAAAGTATGGTTGGAGTTGAACTCAGAGTTTATGAACTCTCTCTGGAGGTAAACAGCATTTTTCATCATGAGTCTTTTGAAATTATCTTGAATCATTGTCTTGATTAGAGTAGCCAAGTTTTTCACAGTTGATGATCATTACAATATTGTTACTGTATACAATGTTCTCCTAGTTCTCTTCATTTCACTTTGCATCAGTTCATATAAGTCTTCCCAGATTTTTCTGAAGCCATCCCTATCATCAATTTTACAACAAAATAATATTCCTTCACTATCATATACCACAACTTGTTCAGCCATTCACCAATTGATGAGCATCCCCTCGGTTTTCAAATTCTTTGCCAACAAAGAG